TTCCAATTAAATGCATTTTAATTTTATCCCGTCCTTGACAGAAGACATATTAACAAAGAAAAACAAAATGTTTGCATATTAAATTCAATATTTATATTTATACTAATAAAAACTAATATTTTACCTCAAAATCAACCTCATTACGATCCAAAAGACAACGGTGAATGGATTCCTCTGCAGAATTTTCACAAGCATTAATTCTTTTACTTGTTCTGAAATCAATATAAACATTAATTCTTTTGTGTATATTTCGCGCATATGTCGGGCTAATGTTGTAAGGAATTATACCATCTAGCACTATATCATATATCTTGTCTCATATATATATTTCTTTGTTGAATTAAATCGATGATATGATTTTGATTTTTCAGTTCCTTTCTTTGGAAACATTTTTTTCAGGACGTATATCGTTGCTAGCTAATTATAGAATTTGACTTACTGCTTTAAATACTTCTAAACTTGAAGTAGTGGCACTATATAAGGAAGAAAATAATCATTAGTAAAGAAAAAAAAAAAAATATATATATATATATATATACACACATACACATACTATAGACTTGATACTTTTATAGCCAAAAGTCATGACTGTGATTGAAGACTCCATCATCGACATAAGGCACACTAACAAAGAAAAAAAAATGTTAGCATATTAAATTCAATATTTATACTTACACAAATAAAACCAATATTTTACCTCAAAATCAACTTCACTATTCCAAAGACGAAAGACAAATGAACACCCCTATGGTGACAAAGGTTGGTGTGGAAAAAACAACCTTAATCCGAATCGAACTGAAACTAGACTGATTTTTTGGTTTTTCTCAGGAACCGGTTCGATTTTGATTAGAAAAATGCAAGAATCGGATTTCCCGTTTTGGTTAACAGTTTGGTGTAAAAATAATTTCGGTTAACCAAACCTAGAATAATGAACCGGCTTCCACTTAAAATGCCTAAAACTATTATGTGTCAACCAAATCCCTAATTCTTCATTTATTCATTCTAAGACATTTTGAAATAGCCTTGAGCTGAGCCTTGACTGACTATGTGTTAGAGAAGAGATTGAGTGAGTGATCTAGAGAGGAGATTCAGAATTTGAGGCGGAGTACATCGACGAAGACAAAGTTGTTTGACTGATGGATTGGGAGAGTGAGTGTGTTCGATTTGACTGACGAAGATGGAGTTGTTCGAATGTCGACGGAGACAAACTTCTTCTTTTAGCGATGGAGCTATTTCTTCTTCTTCCTGCACCAGCAACAACACGCGTTTCATTTTGATTTCACAACCAATCTCGAACTCTCAGCTTTCTTTATCGTTCAGATTTTTTATTCTTCACAAAGTGAGAAATGTAAGTTGTAAATTTGTAACAAATTTTGGATTCTTAGAGCAATTATCAGATGTTTTGCTGTTGTTGATGTTTTATGGGTTGAAGATATATTTGATGTTTTGTGGGTTTGAAGAATGTTTTTTTGGAGTGTTTGTTATATTGGAGATGTGGAGTGTTTGTTTGCAGATGGGAAGTTGTGATGGAGAAGTTTGTTTTTGGGATTGGTAGAGAAGTTGTGGTTGCAAATGGATGGTGATAATGAGGTGAGGAATAAAGTCAAAGAGAAGAGTGAAAAGAGCAGATTAGCTGTGATGAAGGATGGATCTTCATTTTCTGCAATTGGATGCTTGATTGAAGATGTATTAGGAAACAAAGAACAAAGTCTTTATCTTTAATATTTTTTGGCTACTGAGTTTTTTAGTTTGTTTATAATTTATAATTTAAAGATGTATTAGGAAACAAAGAACCGAAATTGGTTCTTCCTTTTCTGCACATTGAGATTATTTTTTGGTTGGTAGTAAAACGGTTTAAAAAGAAATTAGGCCAAAGTGGAGGGACAATTGAATTGGGCCAAACTAGTATAGGCCCATTTGAATAAATCGGTTAACCGAATCGATTTTTCGATTCCGTTAAAAACCGGTTCAAGTGAAACACCGGTTCGATTTAGATTCAGTTTTTCACTTGAATTGGAATCTGGTTCGGTTCAAGATTACGGTTAACCGGTCTGGTTAACCGAATTTTTCCACCACCCCTAGACAAAAGCGAATGGACACCTCTACAAGTTTTTCATGGACATTACAAGTGCTCATGTAATAATTGAAACTAGGACATTTTTTGGTTTGATACTATCACAAAAAAGCAAGTTAGTAAATATCTTCAAAGAGTAGTATTCCATAATTCTTTCCAAGGAAAATAAAGCTAATGGATTGATTGATGGCCAATATATAATATCGCTATTTGCTGACTTGCTTTTTAGCCATAATCTCAAACCAAAAAAATGATCTTGATTTTAATTATTACTTGAAAGTCGATAGCTGTTTTTGCCATAATCTCAAACCAAAAAATGATCTTGATTTTAATTATTACTTGAAAGTTGATTGTAGTATTCCATAATTCTTTTGAAGGGAATAAAGCTAATGGATTGATTGATGACAAATATATAATGGATTATCTTGTGGATTTACTTGAGGTTTCATGAAATGAGCATGTCAATGCTAAAATTGAACGAGTTTAACTTTTGACTGAATAATATTCCAAGATGTATTACGTTATTATTTGTAACATTACAATATCATCCCGAGCCTAACTTTTGATTGAATAATATTCCAAAATGTATTACATTATTATTTGTAACATTACAGTATCATCCTTTCGTAATTATAATTAATCTCGATACTAACTCTTCATAGTTTTCTTCTGAAACTCAATTGTTCTGTTCGGTTGGTCGCTAACTTAGTGGTGATAGATATTCTATCTAACCGGTGAAACTTTTTGAAACGTAAGATCTTTAGCATGTTTTGTGAAGACGAAATCTCTAATTTCTAATACACAAATATGCTCATTGTTTTAAAACCCGGCTCGGCTCGACTAGTTAGACCGTTTCGACTCAGACTCGGTTGGTTGGACTGAGACCCGATCAGTGAGCCAAACCGAGGGCCATTTCTAGGGCTACAAACGAACTGAACAGTTTGCGAACAACTCGATGTTCGTTCGATAATTGTTCGACATTGTTCGCGAACAAACTGTTCGCGAACAATTCGATGTTCGTTCGATAATATGTTCGATCGAGTTCGAACATGGGTTGTTCGTTCAATTATGTTCGTGAACATTATACGTTCGATTGATCTATCCGTTCGTAAACAATCTATTTGATTGTTCATTCGTTTATGTTCAAAAAACATGGTATGCATTATTATAATTTATATTTTCTTTTTCTTTTTTATATTATATTTGGTTTAGTTTGGATGAATTTTTTTTAATGATAATCAATAATAAAATATTATGATACTTTTGTTTTTCTTATATATATAATATGTTTGGATTTTTTTTTTTTCTAAATGTCATCAATAATTAAATGTATAAGTATATAGCATTTTAATTAAAAAGTAATAAATTATTATGATACATAGTATGACAGATTTAATAACATAATAGATTGTATAATCAAGTAATAAATAATATAGTAAATCCAATAATATAATTGCTTCATATTTTTCCAAATATAATCAATATTTAAATATTATAAGATAACATTTCAATTAATAAATAATAAATATAATATGGTAAATTGATAAACATAACATATTGTATAATCAAGTGATGTATAGCATAATAAATTTAATAATATAATAGTTTAGTTAAATATAGTATGGTAAATTGATGAACATAACATATTGTATAATTAAGTGATATATAACATGACAAATTTAATAATATAATAGTTGAATTAAATATAATATGACAAATTTATGAATATGACATATTGTATAATCAAGTGATATATAGCATGATAAATTTAATAACATAATAGCTTAATTAAACTTAAATTAATCACACATTTGTATTGATCATATATTACAATAAACCCTCGTACCACTATGAATTTATAGGTGTTGATACAAAATATATATGTAGACACTTATTCGAACGAGTTGGTGTATGTTTTTTATTTGAACAGGTATTCGAACGAGTTATTCGAATAGGTATTTACGAGTTAGTCGAACGAATACGAACTGGTCTTTTGTTAATTGAACGAACACGAATAGTCATCCTGTGTTTGTTCGAGTTCAAACACGAAATCGAATAATTGAACATGTTTATCGAACGAGTTTCGAACGGGGCTGTTTATTCGTGTTCGGTTCGATTGCAGGCCTAGCCATTTCACCCAGATTCACTCGAGGTTGGACTGGGGTATGGTAGCAACCCGCCGATCCAACCAATTTTTGGGAAAATCGAGTGAATCAAAGAAAACGGCTACTTTTGACTGGTGTTCGACGGAAAACATGATTCGGGGTTAGGGTGTTTTGAAGGATGGATCACGGTGAGTTGAGAGGTGGTGTTTGATTAAGTTTTAGTTCCAAAATCGCTGGAATTTGGCCAAGCAACGACGAAACCCTGGCTTTTGATTGTCGACGATTGGTGGGTGGAATGACTTGGAAACTCTAGGGGTTTTGTAAGAGAGTAGCCAATGAGTTTAAGGGTGGTGGTAGTTGGAATTGTCATTACTCAAAACGGTTGAAATATGACAAAGGACAACCGATTGATGCAGTTTTTGTGGCCAACAATCGACGAGTGATAAAAGAGGATAAAGGATATGGTTTTGAAGAGGGGAGGGTGGGGTTCTAGTAGTGGTGACAATAGGAATAATTTTGGGTGAAAAAGCAACCAAAAAGAGGGGAAAAAAGGCTAACGTTGATGCATGCTAATGTGCACATAAAACATCAACAATGCTAACATGCACTGAAAATTAAAAATTTTGAATTTTTTTATGTTGACATCACCCTGTCAACCCCCGACGGGACCCAACCACTTTTCCATGTTTAGCCCTGGTTGGTTTTTAAAACATCGGATATGCTTGTCAGTTGCATCAATTATTAAATTTATTTTCCTTTAATAAATTTTATACAATCATATTACTTGAAGTTAAATCAATGGAAGAAGCACCCAAACTATGTAAGTTTAAACAGAGATATATAACACAACTTTAAAAATAGTATAGTACAACACAATTGCGTAAAATTCCATCGACCAATCACAATTTAATCCTCAAACTGGAAATGTTTCTGTATGATTTAAAAACAAAAGGATAATCCAGATTGAATTGCACGGCTAAATCAGGACTACATCTCCACAACTCGAGCCTTGTACATGCAAATGTATGCCATATGCCAATCACCTGAAACCAGGAGAGACATAAATATTCATTAAAACAAGAATGACAGAATTGATTGAGGTGGTCACAAAATGAAGCGACAACAGAATATGTATCTATTTGTCTATCCGCGCTTGCAGGGCAAAAGTGAGCGAGAATTTTTCAATAATGCTAGTTTATTTAACTGAGCCAGAGCTTACCTCCTCCAGACAGTTTAGTAATGTCTTCTTCTCGCTGTGGAATAGGATTGTCATCGTCATATTCAATCCATTTCCCTGTGAACGATAACAGGTCAGTTCAAAAATAAGTTTTTAACTAATAGATGGAGAAGTATTAAATATATTGTTTCATGGAACTCACCGCTTTCTTGCTTCACCCAAGCAACATAATGTCCTGAATCGGCACTCCTACCCTTATGGGTTAGCACAGCAACCAAGTCATAAACCCCAGTTAATTGTGGTTCCTTGCCAGTGTCAGAGGCAACACCTGAGGCACAAAATAAGCTAATATCAAACAGTGACAAAAAAAGTGTTCTACACTGCTAGGTCAGGACTCAGGAATTTATGTGCATAAATGGTAAAGCTATACCAGTGGAAGGGGTAAACTCGATAAGTCCACCATACTATGAAATATAGATCTACTTCATCAAACATTGATAGACCGGCATAATAATTAAATATCTGGATGATTATACAGGTTACTTACCATCTTGAGATGTAGCTACAGATGATTCTTCAGTTCCATTTGATGAAGATCCCTATGTAAAAGATATTAAGAATATTAGAAGTCATCAGAATATGCTTATAACCTGTGCATGAATAGTTAGATCGTCATATCACCTCAGCTTCAATCATTTTGACATCAGTATCTTTCGAATCAGAGCTTTTCTCACTAGACTTTAGACCAAGCTTTTTTCCCTCCTCATCCCTTAGTTTCTGAGAGTTTGACAGTATCATCAATGAATTGAGATTAAATGGAAACTCATCAAAGCAAAAGACAAGGAGATACCTTGCGAGGGGCTTCCAATTTTTTCCGAAGATCATCAGAACAAAAATCATAAACATCCAACTCCAGCGGATAATCCACTTTCTGAAATTCTCAAACAAATTAATGTGATAAAACAAGAGTTCATTGCCAAGAGACATTAGTCCAGGCCACTATAAAAGTTAAAGAAATGATAAAAATACTTTCTTTTTCAGTGTCTCATTCTCCTCCTGACATGTGTAAATGAGTCAAAAGAAGTGGAAAAAAGAGTGTTTTTTTCATCCCTCCTCTTCCTTTGCCTTTTCTATACATGTCAAGATGAAAAAGAGAGTATTGCTACCACTCTAAAAGTTATTTAATAATTTAAACTAATAATAATGCCACATACATTAATCATTAATTGGATTATATTCATTTTCTACAAGCACAAAATAAATCATTCCTGCTAAGTACAAGAAAAACAAAGGAAACTAACATACCCTCAAAATCTTGGCTTTCTGATTTGACTCCCTTTTCCAGAAAAAGCGGACAAACTGAACGGTTAAGTACCTTTAAAATGAAATAGGGTATTAGAACACACCTCACATCGGAATGGTTAAATGAGGACAGACTTCAGAACTTCTGAGGAAATCCAACATTGAATTGGAGATTTACTATAACACTTTGCAGTGAATTACAAGCCACTTCTTACCTAGGCAAACCATTAATACAAGACTCTTTCAAATAAATAGCACTACGACCCAAGGCAGGAGAAGCCTTCTCCAACTCTGATTTCAAACCCTACATGTAGCAAAATTTAATAGGAAAATTATAGCATTAATAAGAGATTGATTAATCAAAAACACAAGAGAATAGTCAATTCACTTTTTCTCTGGAAAACCATGAAAAGTGGACAATATTCAGACATTAATTACAGATATAAAGTTCAAGGTTATCATACCATCTGCGGTAGCAGATTGGATAGGAATTCCTTCTTAGTAATTACAGAAACATTCACTTTTTAAAACCAACATACTGAATTTCTGATTTATCTGTAAGTAAACACACACAAAAAAGAGTAGGTGTAATAATTTCAAACTCACTATCTACTAAGTTGCTGATCGTACTTTTAAAAAATAAAAATAAGGACATCTGCAACAAACTAATTGTTAACACATTTCTTTTAATCTGTGACAAAAGTAACAGACGGACATAAAAGCAAAGAAGGCCGGTTTATTAAAACGGAAGACATAAAAGGTGCCAAATTCACAACACTAACTTGCACAGCATCTCTGAATGACCAAATGATATTTGACAACTTAGGTAATACTTTCTTCATCATGATATCAAAGTGAGAAATGTTAATAATAACCTTCAAAGATATACCAGAGCTGCATGGATATAATCTTATGATGGCCGGCTCTAAAATATTTGAGGCATGTGTTAGAAACTAAAAGGCAGTCATACTTCTGAAACACTTAAAATGGGTTAACAAAAGCTTTCTGGTTTTAACTACAAATCTAGCATGGAAACATTGGGAATGTCCTTGAAAGTTATAAGAATCCAAGAATTTGTGAGCTCATGGAACCATTTGGAGGCTGTAGCAAGAATATAATTTTATGGGTGAGCAGTAAACAGTTCCTTGGAACTGTCCAATATAAAATTTCATATTGTTCAACTCCTGTGGCTAAAAGGGTTTGATTATTTATGATAAGTACAATTTTTACCATGACTGTTCCCACCAAAAAACTCATCATGTTGCAAATTTTCGACTAACCTAATACATGATTATATCAAAAATCAGTTATCAAAAGTAATGCTAAGGGAAAAGATTTACTTTGGTAAATGACAAACATAATTGCAGGCAAAAAAAAAAAAAAAAAAAAACTAGCAAACCATTTCAAAAGAACATTCAATTCTTTCCATGTTTTTTGTTAAAACATGCAGACATTTCAAGAGTTCAAACATCTGCAGATAGACTGTCTGCATCAATTTTAAAGGCTAAAGTAGTCCCTAGACAAAGTCATCTTAATCTTGGACAGACAAATGTATATACATTTAACATAAACTATTGAAGGAAAGCACAAACATGAAACCTGACTAAGGCAGCCAAAGATATGAATCATTCAATGTAGAGTAATAACATATTATTATGTATTTATATATATAGCCTCCATGACTGTAAGCTAATACCACTTACGTGCTTCAGTCCTTCATGCAAATGGTTAACCTCTTGTGATATGTGGCATTTAAGAGAATAAATTGATTCTGTTTCTGAGCTTTCCTCACCACTTTCTTGACAATGCACTCTAGCAAGGAAAACCATTGATGAGCAAATACTATTTCTAAGCTCCTTAAACTATAGATCATGAATAAATAATTTAGTGAAAGGACCAGCACCAAAAGTCTAACATGTTTTTTGCAGGCTCTTCATAAAAAAAAAACAAAGAACCACATAAAGAATGTCCCTGAAAAACTAGATCAAGAAAATAAAACACACAAAAGAAATGGAAAAAAAAAAAAGTGATATCCTTAACCAGACAAAATCCAATATTACAACAAGTCCATTGCTTTTTTGAGTCACCAATGCCTCAGGCATTTTTACCTTAAGCTAGCATAATTCAACAACTAAAAATCTTCCAAAAAAAAGGAGGCTTAAGCTAATATATATTTTTTCCCAAAAATAAGTTATAATAATAAAAATGTGGAGAAACATCTGTGAACCCGCGTATCAACAAAGAATAAAAAGAAATAAGAAAAAAAAACAACAGGAAACAATTCTATTTAGAAACAAATTCCAACGACTAATCATCCCTCCCCTGGACAAAAAGGCCCAAAAACTAATGTGAAAACTGATACAATTATGTGAACTAATGTCTACCAGTACGATAATGGATATATAAAGGAACTTAAAGATATGTACCTGCTTATAATATCAATACCAAAAAGTCCCTTCACAGTATCGGGATTTTCACTGCAAGCAAAGATAGTCCAAGGAAAAAGAATATTATTATTTTCAATAAACATTGATAAAACAAATAGCTAACTGGTAAAATAAAAAGGCAAATGCAAAAGGTTTCAGTGAGACCAATAACATGTGCACCATGGGTTTGTTCTGTGTTTATGCTATCAAATGAACACTAAATTACCTGGTATTTGGCAATCTGAGAGACTGTGAAAGTGTGTACAAGAGTTGTGTCCAACATTCTTCAGCATCCTGTTAGATGTTCAGAAGTATAGAGATCAAGTAATTGAAAGTTTAGAGCAGTAAAACTATTGTAATCAGGTGAATGGTAACTTCAACCACCTGCTGCATGAAGCTTCCATTGTGCAACTGACCAAACTGAGGATACTTTTTGCGCAAGAGCTGTAAGAAAATTGAAAAGATAAAATTAATATGCCATGAAATTTCAGGCACAAATGACATACATCTATCAAAAACTATCATGAGGTTTCATATGAGTGGATAACATCAGCTTATGATATGATTCTGCCACAGATGATAATATGAAGAGATCTGTAAAGTTTTAAATATTGAGACTTCAACTTTACAAAAAGAAAACAAACTCAAAAATAAAAAAGCTTAAAGCATACCATGTACTAGTCTCATTAGCTAATGCATGGAATGCACTTTAGGTAAGACATTCCAGAATACTATAGTCAACATGAATACTACAATAATAACAAGAGAATTCACGTTCCTCAATCTCTAAAAGCAACACCTTCTTCGTCCTTGGCAAGTAACCATTTTACAATATATGACTCAATTCAAATAAATATAAGAAACTCAAATAAGTGCTTCCTAGAATTTTGCTAAAGATTTCCAGGGAAATGTATATGCTACCTATTGATATAACACCTTTCCATCATCATAAGACCAAACCTTGTATGTAGAGAATTCCTAATAGAACTACAAGTAGAAGACACAAACTAGTATTGCAAATTGTATATGAGAGAGGAAGAAGTGCAAACCATCCAAAACTGCATAGGTGCCACAGGCTTCACACTTTTATCAAGGTCATTAAATAACTCGCATGTCGCAACTGTCAACATGTGCGAACTATGATCCACATCATTGCTTCTTCCAGACTGTGAATACCTAAATAAAATAAATTAATACAGTGAGCATAAAATGGTGGTCAGAAAAATATGCTAATCCATTCTCAATTAACAAGACATTTCCCAAATCAACAAAATTCACTGACAAAAAGGAGAGTACTCACTTAGATAAAGCAGACTTCAACTCTGGGACTGAATGCAAGCATTGCACGGTGGAGTTCATGTAGCAGGTATTTCCCAAATTAAATAGGCCAGCACTATGACCCTGGAAACATAGGCAATCATGGCTGAGAGTATTAAATGGGGAGGCAAGAGCAAAGCACTAAAGAACCAAAAATCCATGGTAATATCACTACACAACAACTGCGATAATAATAAAGCAATGATGACATCAATACAATGTTGATAATTAGATAAGCAAACCAAGCAATTTCTAGTTCTTCAATACTTCACCATCTTTCAAAAAAACATGCATACTATAGCATTTAAGTTGTGAAAGACAACAACTGTTTCCATGGAGCATGGACATCAACAGTCATGGTAACTAGATAAGCAAACCCAAGGAATTTCCTTAATTCTTCTATCTGTCATCATCTTTGAGAAAAAAATGGATACTAGAGCATTTCAGTTGTTAAAAGCAAGAACAATTGCAACACTTGGTTAATAGAGATCACCGTTGGCATGCCATGACTCAAGGGGTATGCCCCGGTTAAGACTTGTTTAAGTTGGATATTGCAGAAAAAGAACCATGTTCATGGTAATCTCAATTGAATAACCCAAGTTCAGGCCAGGCCAAAATCCAATAGCAAGTTTAATTCATGAGCTAAACAAGATAATAGAGTACTTTTTACCAGAAAGAAATAAACCACAGCATTTCATTGCATTGCATGAAAACAAAGTTGTTGGCACAGATATTTCAAGAGGACATAAACAAAGAACCAGAGAAAAAATGTGATGACCAAGGAAAAATATATATTTTATTAAGGAAAACACAAAATGGGAAAGATACATTCTTTTAGTATTTTCTTTGTTTGTGGCATATATCTGAGACTTGGATTTGACTTCATTCATGAAAATAGCAAGTTCATCTGTGTCTATGCATATGAGGAGAGAGAATGAAGATGTCTGATTCTAGATACCAGCAGCACAAAATAAAAAAATAAAATATCTAATGACATCAAGACAGAAAGACACAAGGGTTAACCATCAAGGTAAATCATGAGATTGGGTCATTCCTTACCAGTGCTACCACCTGTTCGTCTTCTGGAAGATCTTCCACAAAAACAGGTCCCTTCTCAGGGGCCTTCACAATCTCATCAGCAGTACCCATCATCATCAATCTTTGACCCTAGAAAACAAAACAAAGTTATATAATTATTAGCCACCTCATTACAGAAAAGAAAAAATGTAACCCAAGCATTATAATAAATATTTTTTACCTGTTTCACTCCCAATGTTGACCAATCCGAATCATCCTGAATAGCAGAAGAATGAGATTAAAAGTTTAGTAACCATCCTCAATAATAGAAATTTCAGGAACCAATGAAATGACAAGATATGTATATGAATCAATTCCTATTTCGTGAATTAACTATTTAAGCAAGTTACGGATCACTTTTATGACCAACTAAGCTAAGCTGAATCATTCACAACCATTTACGTACCTTCAGTAAACCACCCTTCACCATAATCTTCTGCCTTTCTGGGGGTACTCCAGTAAGATCATACAATTGGCACTTGAAAACATAAGGAGGCTGGCTAGGGTCAATTTCCACATTTGAGAATACCTCCTTTTGCCATTTTACACTCACTGTAACAATGCAGCAGAAAGGTCAACAGAAGCTACTACAAAAATAGAATGAATCAAATAATGAAATAATGAGGAAATTAGGTCACGCTTCACCTTTAACCTGGGTGGTCAATTTCAAAGAAATAAAAACTGAAAAGTTTGCCGCTACATGTGACTTCTGATTAAAACAGTACACACACTTCAACCATTCAAGTACGCAATTATACTACCTACTTAGTTTATTATTTCCCAACAATCCACATAACTGGTAGAATACTGTTAATGAGAATAACCAACATCAAAATTAATCACATTCAGTAAAAAATGACTCTTAACATATACACAACCAGAAAGTAATAGCTAAGAACCCAATTAATGAAATTCAAAATAGAACCAAAATGAACAAGGTCCTCATTCAAATCCTCGATATAAATAAAATAAAATAAAATAAAATCATTAATCACCAGCAGCCCACTTCAGAAAATTAAAAGTGAAACCCAGGAAAATAAATCAAGCTTTAACTATTCCACTCATCAAAGATTGTTGGGGAAGAAGGAAAAGAAAATTATGTAAAAACAATGATAAGCTTCGAAACTAGGTTCAGGAAAGTAATAACAAGGCCCACAAATGCTCTAATAGTTCTCACTCACCAACAAAAATTAAATCATAAGCAAGTCCAGTAATTACATTAAATTCAATAAAAAGCAATAACCCAGTTCAAAAAGGTTCACTACAAAGCCAAATATTGATATATCAAGCTCAAAAAACTTCATTTAATCGAAACTTTATAAACAAAAATCATGCAAATCCCATATAGAAAAACTGCAATCAGCGACAACCCAGTTGACTAAATACATAATGACGTCCAGAAAAAGCACTCTAGCTGTTCTAGTAATCAAGTATTAATTCTTTAATCAAATCCTAGATAAGAACAAACAATCAATGAATGCAATATTGCGTTATTTAATTAATCGAGAAAAATGCGCAAAGTAAATTGAGGCTTTATAATGTAATGAAGAAATGATGGAGAAGTTAAATCGAACCTTTAAGCATGATTGAAGAGCTCTGGAGAAATCGAGAGATACACAGAGTGTGTGCGTTTGCGTTTTTTAAATAGTTTGTGTATTTGTTTAGCTTGGACGAAGGGAAATCGAGAACCCGAGACTTTAATTTTATACCCCAGATATCTGAACCCGGGCCGAATTGGGGTTGGGTTAAATAGTCAAAAAAGTAACTTTATTGTGGTAAAGTGAAATAATTTAAATTAACCACTAATATTAGAGGAATTCCATAAAACCCATGTATTTCAAATATATACCGAAATCTCCCTTGGAGGGTGTTGTAACTTATACATGCTATTGTTGACTATTAGGGTACCCTAGTCATTTCTCATAAAACTATTTTTTTGAAAAAAATAAAGAACTTAGATACTGTTCACTGTTGGAAGTGCAACCAAACCACTACAATGTATAAAATAAAACATCGTATGTGGTCTAATTAATAAAATTAAGGTATAAAAAATATGTTAATATCCGCATCAAATAATGTAGATTGGTAATAGGGTTGTTTTACATAAATATTTTTGCAAAAAAATTACAAATTTGGGAACTAAAAGTCGTTGCATGCTACGGCTATAGATTATAGATGGTATGAAAATGACTAATAAACTAGATTGTACCGACTTGTGAAATAGTGTCATTATTTTTGGATACAACAATATCTATTATGTTACATTATGAATTTATAATATAATCATCTTTGTGAATTCGTCTGAATCAAGGTTTGTCACATTAAAAAATATAAACCTAAATCAATTATTTAACTATTTATCCAAGCATTACGTCCAACCAAATAACGATCAACGTTACATTTATAACTGAAGTTTATGTCGATTGTTTAACCTAATTTAAGCTAAATTTTTGATAGTATGACAATTATGAATGGTCCATGAGGTTTTTGGTTGTCTTGGTATTTCAATATCTTTTTTTGGAAAATAAGTTTTAATAAAAATGACTGAAACACCCTTGATGATTCAACTTAAACCATTTCTAGTTCACAAAATTTAGGGGAAATTATGATATATTTTGAAAACCTTTGGGCCTTATTGTTTTTTAAGAACCTGTAAATTACCCAAAAATAAAATATATAAAAAAAAAAAATTAACAACAAAACTCAAATCAAACCCAGCAGAATCAGAATCAAAACAATCCCAATACGTTTAAGCACCGTAATCAATTAAGCGACAGCACAATGTACGGAGGCTCGAAGCTCGGCCGCGGCGGCGGTCGAGCAATCCCCCCAAACAAGCGCAACTCATTCCCGCCGCCGCCGCCGCACCGGCTGAGCACTCCATCGTCGGCGAACCGGCTTTCCCTGGGGTCCTCAGCCTCTCGCAACCGGACGGCTGGGCCTAGTGGGGCCACGTCATCAGGAAGTTCTAAAGCGGTTGAAGAAACGTTCAGCCTTGTTTCTGGGAACAATCCGTTGGCTTTCGGAATGATTATCCGGCTGGCTCCGGATTTGGTGGAGGAGATTAGAAGAGTCGAGAGCCAAGGGCAGATGGCGAGGATTAAATTCGATTCAATAGCTAATAACCCAAATGGAAATGTGAGTTTTGTTAATTAGAGATTGAGTTTTGTCAAGTTCAATTTTTTTTTCCGTCAAAATTGGTGAATTTTTGTTGTGAATTTTACTGAAATTTGAGTGTTTTGGTTTAGTTTTATATGGATATAGATTAGTTTTGTTTAAGATGTATAAACTTGAGCTTAATAGCTTAATTTTAATCTGGGTAATAGTTGGTTTTAGTGTGGTTTAGTTGTGAACAATTGTTGTGGAGTGGATATATCTTGGTGAAATTTATCTGGGTATAGGAAAATTTTACTGTTGATAATTCTTGTGGAAATGTGAGTATGTTGGTTTTGAAGCTAATAAATGGAGTACAATTTATGTGCTCATTCTTTACTGCAAATGAGTGGTTCCAAAAACTAGAGAGATAATTAGATTGTTAATCAACCGATTCATTGAAATTAAAAATTCTGATTAGAGTGTGAGTTTGGAGGTGCACTCAAATGTAGGGTAAAAATGATTTGAGAGAGCAATTGTGACATGACTTCATAGGCAATGAAGCTGCAGCAATAGGAAGCATGTGGGAAGTGGCATTTGGATATAGACGACATTGTCATTGTTGCAGACGTCTTGCGGCAGTAGTAATGGTTTTGATGGGTGCTGATATTGCAGAGACAGTGGCAGCTGCTGGTGGGGCGTGATACAGGGTTACTCAGATGATAAAATAACAAATTTCAAGTTTTAAAGTCGGAGATTAAACAAGATGCTTATTGTAGTAGCTGTTGAACGAGTCAAATATATTCAAGTAAGAAAAGCTAAGCGGGAAACTTTGTTTCGTACCTGGGTAGGGAAGAAATTATCCTTTAGATCTTTCAATCTTATGTACTTAACAAGAACACTGAGGGTTTAATCTTTGTCTTCACGTTTTCTCAAGCCTAAATCATTCCTGGGTTTGTTAAAGCTCTGATTTTAGTGAACCATATGTGTATTTCTTCTTCCCTCTTCCCTTTTCAAATTGGTTTTAAAGTAGGTAACCAATGAGTTTCATCTCACTTAAACATAATATTGTATATTATATTTGTGGTGTTTAATATATATCATAGAGTTTCTTAAATCTTGCTCATTTTCCTATTTTCCCAGAATGTATTAATTTTGTGGTAATTGAAATTGCCTATTTATTATTTTTACTGTTTTAATATTGTTGTGGCCTATCAATTCTCAGGCAAATTGGCTTTAAATGGTTGATCATTGCATCAGGTTATTGACGTAGGTGGTAAGGAGTTTAGATTTACATGGTCCCGGGATGGTGACCTCTGTGACATTTATGAAGAACAACAAAGTGGTGAAGATGGAGATGGTTTGCTTGTTGAATCTGGGTGTGCTTGGCGCAAGGTGAATGTTCAGCGTATCTTGGACGAGTCAACTGTGAACCATGTAAAGATGCGGTCTGAGGAAGCTGAGCGCAAGCTTAAACAACGCAAGTATGCTATACAATACTCTGATGCATTTCATTTCTCGGAATTTTTTAGTTATAATATGCCTTTGCATTTAGACATCTTTTTATTCTTGAACTTGCTTTTGTCTGTGCATATTGTGTAAACTATTTGTTGTTTATCTTGTTAATTCCATAGCGAAATCTGATGTAAAAGGAGATGCACATAATTCTTGTTGACATTTAAATTCTTTTTTTGGCTAAGTGTTGACATTTAAATTCCCTGGGGCCAAATAGATATTAAAAGATAAACAAATTTATATTCTAGCTAATTGCTCTTGTTGTGGAATATTATCCATCTGATCTGCTAGGAGAAGATTATTGTGTTGGAACTTCTAGTGGTTTGTATGTTATCTTCCTCTAGTTCGTATTGACACTCCAGATGTATGTGATAAATCTTATTTTCTCCGACATATATTATTGGTTGCAATCCCTAGTTAGGCTATTATGTTAATTATAATAAGTGTGGATGTTAGTATGATTCACTCTTTATAGTTTTAGTACCTGTATATTAGTTCCCTTGTTCATTTGCTTTATGGAATTTTTTTCCTTACCTCGACAGTATACAACAGTGATTTTCCTTTCCTTTTATATTTTGCTTTGTTATCAGTTGCAACGATTATATATTCATCCGATTTCAACAATCATCCTTGATTACTTTCAAAACTTTAGTATACCTATATTATTAAAAGGTAGATTTTTGTGGTGAAACCTTTAGATTAATTGTATTTTTTTTTTCACATAAGACATGTGTTCATTTTCTTATTCTATTTTCTTCTTTTTACTATGCAGAGCCATCGTGCTAGACCATGGAAATCCATCCATGAAGAGTCAAATAAAGCAACTAGCTGCTGTTGAGGGTATTTTTTTTTTTTTTTTAATGAGATGCTTTCTTTATTCATTACAGTTTTAGTTACCATTTGTTGCTTACCATTGGACATAACTGTTCAAAAGACCCATTCTTAGGTGTGCGAGGCTTTTGTAAGGTTCTACCGTGTATACTCTAAACTTAAGCTTTTTAGTTGAGAATTAAAAAACAAGGGTAAACCTTATCTATGTTACTTTTTTTGAGAAACATGTTTGGTGTGCCCATTACTTATTAAATGAGAGACGTGAACTTGTTTAGTTATGCAAAGTTATCAAGATCAATACACTTTAAGTGCTATGCAGTGAAAATTGTATAATAAAGTTGAAGCTGAAGAGGTGAACAATTTTTAATTTAGATATAGAGATATTATACAATATCTTGATTTATTGATTTGCATGTGCCGAATTGACATGTTTTTAGTGTCAAAAGGCTTGGTAATAAAATTTTAAGATGGATATTGATGTTCAGTGTCTATTGTTTGTGTGTTGTTTCAGCTAATCCATGGAGGATGCAGTTTAAACAAAAGAAAGAACCTCCTCCATTTAAAAAAAGGAAAGTGGAAACACTTCAAGGTAAGACCAACTGTATCTTTTCTCATAATCTCTCTCTCTCTCTCACATCAGGAGAAATTCAAGAAATTACAATCTATAGTAAGATGTTGATATTTTACTAATTGTTGGGAGCCCTCTTCTTCAGTCTTATTTAAAAAAAGATGAAAAAGATCATACTAGAATGTTGTTATATCCTTACTCATTCTATTTTGAAATTATTGCAGTTAGTGGCCCCCCTAAATCTACCAATAAATCTGGAGCACCATCAACTACCAGTCTGAAAAGTAGACGCTCAGCTTCACCTCTATCATCTCCACCTGGCCAATCTGGTGCTCCAGCGTCACCGACTGGAACTGGAAATATTGTTAAGAATCATATGAGCATTGAAGAAATTACACCTATTCAGGTGAAGAATAAAGAGAATGCTTCCAACTGTGAGAAAGAAATCACTAGGAATACTAGCATCGTGCGAGAGACACCTGTCCGCAAAGGGAATTCCGGAAATCAACCAACGGATCTGAAGAATATGTTGATTACTTTGCTGATGGAGAATCCCAAGGGAATGAGCTTAAAGGTTAGCCTAAGAAAGTCATAAGAAAATAAAATTAAATAAAGTTTTCCGTTAGCCTGCTAGGGGATTATGTAGGCTGGGTTAAGTTGTTTAATTTTGATTCTTAGTTCATTCCTTCATAT